AGATCTATTTTATCGTTCAAGTATCTTATTCATTCCTGTTCTTCCATTTATTATATGAACGAGCGATTCCTGCTGGATTCATTGAAAGTGCAAAGCTTCAGACTTCAACAATGGGAATCAGAAAACTTTCAATCGAAAGCTTCTCCTAATTGTGACTTCCTCATGTTTTCGGTGCGAAAACTGCCCAAAAATGTCAGAAAAATGCCAAATATTGCATGGACTCCTATTCGTTTCTGTCAATTCAAACCATGAGGTCCAAATTTTGAACTCATTCGAAAAAATTCGGAGACTCTGCTTCTGGTGCAGAGCTTGGAAGTTTTGAAAATATTTTAAGCCTTTTGGTCACTCGTCCGTAGTCAACGGAGCATCCGATTTCGTATTGAGATATTACACCGTTCTAGGCTGGACCCTGTGGTGTGATATGATATCTCTGGGAAGGAATTTCTGGAAATTTTCGAAAATTCAATCTGTCATAGCATGTCGTTGACTGCCTATCGAGATGTGTCCCACTGAGTTTATGTAGTTCGATAGTGTTTTGAAGCGTGAAATTTTTCAGTTTAAACTTATCTTTTAGCTGAATTCACCAGTAAATTGATGATTGTGAATCACTTCTGATGTGTCGAATAGGCGCGATATGATAAAAATACTTCAGTGCTATTGCAATCCTAAACGATTTAAATAGCCCCGCGGTGATTCAGAATGAAGTAAAATGAAGTTAATTAAGCGAATGATGACGGTGATAATGATTACTTTTGACGTTGTAATCATGATAATTACATGAGTACTTCGACTTGTCCTAACGCATACTTTTATGATGAAAAGGTATTTGTTCGGAAGGAATTTCGTAATTTAATGAAAAAAATCTATGAATTTTGTCGAATTATATTACACTGGGATATAGTTTGTAAGGAAAGAAAGCATTTGTGGTATTGTCAGCACTTTCGTTTGTCATGATTCTGAATGTTTTTGTATGCGTGGTGCGGCGCTTAGATTGTTGCGTGATGTTACGATTGGATACTTGATTCGTTTTGGATTTAAAATCATCGAATCGGATATTGTTCATGGCCTATACCTGACTATAGGTTCAGTTGTCATTGATGATGTGTTGATATTAACTTTTAGTGATTACTCTATGTTTATTGTTACTTGGACGTCGACTGGTTGTTCTGTGAATCGCTGTGAGCGATTGCTGGAACATTTATTATATTGGAGTGATGATTATTTATTGGATTCATGATATTTGGCTACGATTAATTATGCAAAATATTCACGGCAACTAATCAATTATTCGGTTGTGTTCGGTTGGCTTGCTGGCCTAGCCAGCGGAGCGGCTTAAATTGAGACTAAAACAATGTGCGCGGAAACGTGAGCATTGTGGCCAGCAACGTTACAAACGTTTGATAGCCTGCTTGCCAATCCAGGTAATTATTTTATTTAACAATAGGTAGATATATTCATAACAAGATGAACAATAAATTTATGCGACAACGATATGAATAGCAATAAACATAAACAAAATCAGTAGCAGTAATTCAAAACATGAGAATATTTACAAGAGTGAGAATATTAAATGCTATGAGTGTTAAATGAATGGAATGCAGTACGTGAAATAAGTAATAAATTTTATATGGTGAAAGTTGTGAATTTACAGGACGAAATTAGTTATTGTGAAGTAAGAGAGGCACTTGAGACGATGAAATAACAGTGACCAACTGGAATTTTCGATTATTTGATAGTTTGCGGTCATTTTTCTGGTGCACAGATAATTGGTCACCACGATCACCATCATTACAATCCGACTTGTTTCCAGTTTCCGTCGATCTGCGAGTAAGTTCGTCAATATTTCTGCGATCGTCTTCTGCAAGAAGAAATTTAGACTGTTACTGTACCGTGATTAGAATGTTACTGTAATATAATTAGACTGTTACTCTAATATGATCAGACTGTTGCTGTACCTTAATTAGGCTTTTACTGTACACTAATTAGACTGTTACTGTAATATGGTTAGGCTGTTACTGTACTACAGCCATCATGTTACTGCACTGTAATTAAACATCTCTACTCGAATTTCTTATCAAGAATGAAATTCAGCGAACAATAGATCAAAATTATGCTGAAAAATATGGAGGAAACGATTGATTGCATGCAATCAGTGATAACTTTTAAAAATTGACCCATCTTCGGCTTCGCGTTTCGACTCCGGCCCCATGTTTCTCTATGTGTTAACTCGATTTCCTGCTCTATCTCCCAGTTCTTTTCAAATTTCTGTTCCTACTCTAGCTTCAGCTCTGCATTCTCTAAAAATCCGGCTCCAGATGCAGCTTTGGTCCCAAAATTTTTACAAATTCGGTTTCGTCTCGGCCATCGTTTCAGGTCGTTTTAGCTCTAGCTACTAATAGAAACTGAGTTTTGCTGTGACATCTTTTCTGTGAGGGAGACAGCGAACGAAAATATTTCGACTTTGGAACTTAAGCATCTCTGTTCGCATTAAATACTTCAAATGAGAACTTTTATATGCACTGTTAATGATTTCACTGCTGCGTACCATTACGATGAGAAGAAGATAATGTGCGATCAATAGGCCAGCAGAACTGGATGGTTTTCTGCCGTTGTGATTGCTCTTGAGTGGGCACCAAACGCAACCATGCTGGTATAAGATCACCTTGGGCATTATTTTCTTCTGCTTCTGCTTCCGAGAAACCTGTATCGGGAGGTGAATAAACTTGACGTTTTGCTTTCTCACTACCAGGCGATTGTCGCGCTCGTCGTCGAATATCCGGTGGTGGTGTTAAAAGACCGAAATTCAGTGGCTCAATCTGTGCAGGACGTTCAGGAGATGCACGTTTTGAATCCAATGAGAAACGCTCTGCGTTATCGTATTCGAGAAGGTCAGTCGAATCAACCACTTTATTCAATCTTATCGCTTCTGCATTTTCAGTCTCACGAATATCTGCCTCTGAATCCACTAAAATGCCACTTTCGTTTGAGATTCCGCTTGATTTTGCGCTTCCTCTCAACTCATTCTGCGAGTGACTCATTCGCCGAGCGCTTCTTCGTGAGCTTTTGATGTATTCACATAGATTAGACACTTTTCGTTCTAACCAATTGATTTCATCACTCAATTTCGCCTCCATACTGGTTGTTGTTGGTGTCGATATGAACTGGTGTTGTTCTGCTGGAGCCGATAAGACTTTTCGTCTTTGCTTCAACAACTTTTTGGCACTAGCAATGGTTTGACGATGACCTTTCCGTTGATATAACCCACCAAATGCGTCCATCGTAATGAGCCTATCGTCGGTGGTTTTTGGCTTGTGACTCATCAGAAAATAATCGTCTTGTGCTAAAGCTTTGCCAAAAACTGTTTCATTCTCCGAAATTAATGACCGTCTCATGATCGTGGCTGAATTCAACGGTTGTTTGAAGGTTGCGCGACGAGCTGATGACAGTTTCAGAGGTGATTCTCGATTAGCGTCGAACAGATTATTCTCCGTGGTTGATCGACTGTTCACGAAGAATTTCGCTTTTAATCGTAGAGCCATTCCGATGAGGTGGTGTTGCTTGTCACTGTATGCAGTCACTGGATACGACCAGTGTTCAGCCAGGAATTCAGCCCTGCTCAATACGGATGGTGGAATCTGGAAAAAAGGCATCAAAATGCGACAAAAATGTCTGGTGTTTCATTGTAAACTTCGACCGACGAAATAAATCTAACTCAGTAAGTAAATTAGAGATAAAACATTCACAAAAATTGCATTGACTTCATTAGTCTACATCAATAACTACTTATAATGAATGATTCTGAACCTGTGGCTTGCCTATATCAGGTAGTTGCTCTTCGAAACGATTGAAACCGTCACTAACGTCATCCGTATCCTTGCCGCTTCTGGCAAACTCCTGAAAATTATGATATTCTCTTTGAATAGTCATCGAGAACTGAAAAAAAGTTCTAGAAGATCAACATGGAAATTACAGTGGTTGTGCTAAAACTAATGGAGAATCACACGGAAATTCGGGAACACTCGAGATCAGAGTGAGCTGGGACAACCTAAACATCGAATCATGCAGAAAAATATGAAAAAAAGATCATTTTTGAAAAATAGTGTGTGCACGTTTTTGGTGAGGTATGCGTGGGCATATAGCTGAATATTGTTTGAAGTGTAATCGTGGTGAGTTGGAGGTGGTTGAAGGGTGAAACTTTGCGGTGTTGTTGTCACCGTCCTGAGATAGTCAAAAAGTGCGCACATATGCTCGATATCTCTGAAGTCGGCATAACGATTGATCCATCTGAAGGAGATGGGTGAAAATGAAGAAGAGACTCGAACGCTTTATCAAATTGGCGAAAAAATTAAATTTTAGCAAATTTATTAGTTTTTTCAAATTATCTGCTGAAATTTATTTGAATCAAATTTATTAAAATTTACTTCTATCAAATTTTATTTTTTTTATCATTTTATCGCTTCATCAAAATTTTGGCCCACTATCATGGGCAAAACAAAAGATACTGCAAATTTTATCGTAACGTTATGAACGAACTCTACTAAACCAGTTTCGATAGAACAACGGTGCGCGTAATCGAGTGCAAGTAATGCTTGATAATTGCGAAGTTTTTCAGTGACAGGAGTGGTGACAGAAGCACTTGTAGAATTTTGCGTCGCGCTTGTGGACGAAATGAGTTGGCGACGTCGTTGTGAGGCCGAACACGAATCGCGAAGCATGAATCTGAGTGAGAGCAGCAGGAAATCCGCGAAAATCTCGTTCCAATATCCGCTCGAAATACGCTCACCATCGAAGCCAAGATATCGATGGCCATTTGGAAAAGATGGAAAGTCAGATTTATCTTTATTATCGTTATCATTATTCGCGTTTACCTTCAATAATGCAGCTTGATTGATTAATTGAAATGATTAATTTTTGAAAAAGTTACAGAATTATTGAAAACAAAAAGTAAATTGGATCAATCATACAATATCTTAGATATGAACTTTCGTATCAGTATCAACGAGATATCCTAAATATTCGGAATATATCCTGAATATCAATGACCCAATCGTAAATTTTAAGAAATGATCAATTGAGATTTGAGTACGAACATTGAGAATCGTGTCTGTTTGCGCTAATTTTGTTGTTGTAAGTTTGGAACTTATCCGGTCGATACAATTCAAAATAACGTTACACTGTCGTAGAAGCGTTATGAATGCATGCTGAAGCACATGCACTCGCAAATAGTCCGCTCGTTCTGCTGCATCAACCGAATCCACTTTATCGTCCAATAGAATGCTGATACTCGAGGCTGATGCCATTTTCAACGAATAAACTGCTGGCCTCGGCAACTGAAAAATTGCTTAATGACCCATATTCTTCTGCTATTCTCATGCAATTTTCTAGTCGATAATGCAAAACAATAGTAAAAATGTACAATTGAATCAGCGTACCTTGATGCTGTCTGGCACAATCGGTGACATTTTAACAAATATCTGTTTCATTTCAGTCAGTAATCGTTCACATAAATAGGGCACAAATCGAATTTTCGTTATCGAATCTATTTCCAAAAAACCGTTCACGATTGCTTCCCATTTTGTTTTCAATTCCTTTACTGTCTTCATGTCGATCATCATTCTTTGTTGTTTTGACCATGCGTCAAGCTCATCGAAAGTGTTGTCCAGTAAAGAAACACAATAACTACCGATCAGATCCAATCTGAAAACGTCCACCTCTTACTAGTTAGATAAGCTCATTCAGACAAAACTGACTACAACACTTTGTTTTCAATTGATGGAAAATAATGCAAAATTTGATTTTTCTTTATCATCATTGACAATGTTAGTGTGTACCTTCCATATTGCATCTTGATTTACTGATTTTTTTTAAAAAGTTTAAACAAAACAAAAAGTGGAATGGACTAGTGATGAAAGATCTTAAATATGACCTTTTCTTTCAATATCAATGATATATCCTAAATGCTCGAAATATATCCTAACAGAGCGAAGTAAAATAAGCGATAACAACTCACTTATACATATGATCAGTAATGAATCGTAACATAATTTGTGATTTAAAATCGCAAAAGTGATCGACATAGAATATTGCTTCAATACAATTCGATAAACGCCATAATAATACGACAGGTAACTGAGGTGTACATTGCGGGAAGTTCACACTTAACATAGTACCCACTTTGAAACGTTCCACTTCATCGTAGAGCTGGTAGTCGACTATAAATTAGAGCGAACTGATAGAAAAATTATTCTGGATAATAATATAATAGTAATATTATTATTATTATTACTATTTTGGATAATAATAATAATAATGATAATAATAGGTCAGCAATGTGAACTCAAAATAATCTGATGAAAGAAATATTAAGAGAGAAGAAAAACTGACAATGAAAGGGCTAAATAATCCAGAATGAAATCAGTGAACAGCCTACTTTCATCGGTGTTTGCAGGCCATTCATAGAGATTTGGCAGTGTAATTGGTAAATTTTCAGGCGATACTGAAGAGAGTGGAGAATTGTTTTGGTGACGAGGTGTTAGAATTGGAAGGTCGAGATAATATGAGGCTATGAAGCGAGCTGTACTCATCAGACGTTCAAAGGCTGACGTGCGATCAACGTGCGGCTCACAACAACGTAAACAATTCAGTTGTTTCTTGAGCTCATCAAAATCCAACACGAAGAAAACATTCAAGTCACTAAGCACTTCAACCATTTTATTCACAATGCTAATCGCATAAAATTACATTTACACAACCGATTTCATAAGCACTATCACATCATTCGTACATTTATCGTTCACGAATCTGAAATTTTGATGAAAATAGAAAATATGACAACGAAAATCGACGTTATAGAAATGATATCAATAGGAATCAACAAGAATGATCATACCTTAATCGTCAATTTAGAGAAAATTTGAACAATATAACTGATTGTGAACATTATTCCGTTCAGAGCACATGGATAAATATAGCTCATAAAATGTAGTTGCCATAATCGGGTTGCAGCTGCTAGCCCAAGCGATTTATGCATTTGTGTGCCTTGAGAGCAATGAATGAAGAGAACGGAGGATTCAACAATCAGTCGCACCTGTCACCATAGTAACCATGCAGAAATGCTCAACAAACACGTCTAAATGCACTCTACCAATGAAATAATGCTAATTTTTTCGAATCGCTGAACATATTCTCTTATCCTTTTCATATTCTATATCTTTTTAGCTGGTGCCTTGTCCAAGAAAAGATTCCCAGATGGAAGAGTGATTTGGTTGAAGATCTGATCTAACGCAACCAATCCAGTTTTATGAGATCAATCAGATTGCTGCCCTTTAGTTGAAATTATTTGATGATTATTCATTTGTACTTATTCAGGTCTGATGCAGCTGGACACGCGTTGGTTGGACGATGGGATGGATCGCGGAGACGAGGCGTGGATCGAGGACAACGTCAACAGTGGTGATTATTATTGCTTTTTTGAATTATGAATAAGACGATAGTGGCATATTATTGTGGGATTTAT